GATTCATTCCCGGTAGCACCTTTGTCGGCACACGATTACGAATCCATGCCGCTAGCGCACTCGCCTCTCCCCACCACTCGTTCCCAAGCTTGGAGTGTTGAAGTAGTGAACAAACGGCTTCCACCAACGTGCGATTAAGCCGCTCCGCCGCTCCATTTTGTTGGGGTGTGTAGGGTGTCGTGACGTCGTGCTTTATGCCCTTGCTCTTCATCCATTTCTCAAGCTCCGCGTTCACGAATTCGCCCCCACCGTCGGTGCGAATACACTTGATCCGCTTCTTGTCGTCGTCGCAAACATCGAGCGCCCACTCTTGAATCGCCTTGGCCGCATCTCCCTTAGCCTTCAAGAGTCGGGTCCAACACATCCGCGTCGCGTCGTCGAGCATCACCAAGAGGAACCGCGCTCCTCCCTTTGATGCATGTCGCATCGGTCCACACACGTCCATGTGAACAAGCGCAAGCGGGTCCTTAGCGAGGGGTGACGTTCGGCTACCAAATGGCTTGCGAGCCATTTTTCCTTCGACACACGCCGCGCACACGCCCTTCTCGTCGTCGCCGGCGATCACGTCAAGTCCCTTCGCAAGTCCTTTGTTGGCCAACTCCTTGACCGAGTCGTAATTGGCGTGCGCAAGTCGATCATGCCACGCCTTAAGAGTTGCCTTGGAGCCTTGCACCACGTTCGATGAAGCCACTCTTGGGTACGTCTTGAGTTGGTAGATATCTCCATTGAGAACCCCTTGCGCGAATTGCTCCCCCTTCCAAAAGAGGTTCATCTTCGCACCGTCGATGGTGGCGATCACGCCCTTCTTCGCCAGTTGCGGGACGGATAGAAGGTTCACCTTCACCCCCGGGACGTGAAGCACGTTCGTGACGTCCACCGGTCCGCTATCGATGATGAGGCGCGTACTCCCAACTCCAACCACCGGTAGAGATTCGTTGTTTCCGAACACGATGCTCGTGACGTCTCCCGGAGCGCCAATGTTGTTGAGGAGCGACGCCGAGTGCGTCATGTGTTGCGTTGCGCTGGTATCGAGGAACCACGCGTCGCTTGGAGTTTTGTTCCCGTTGCCGGCCACTAACACGAGCGACTCCTTTGAATCATCGGCCTCGCCGGATGCCGTGTGCGCGTTGCCCTCTTCGTCCCGCGCCTTCGATGGAGTCCAATCGCTCGGGCGCTTCCGACACTCACGCCAAAAGTGTCCCGGTTTGCGGCAATAGTGACACTTGCCGCGATGCTCGCTCCCACCCGACGATTCATTCGTCGCACCCTTGCTCCACTTGGACTTCTTTCCGGAACTCCCTCCGGAGTACATGGCGGTCCCCTCGCTCTCATTCGCGAATTGTCGGCGACGTGATTCCTCATGGAGAAGCCGACCGACCACCATTTCCTTCGTCCAAGTGCCTTGCACGCTATCGAGTGTCGTAATCACCGTCGACCACTCTTCCGGAAGGCCGCAAAGCAAGGTGAGAATCCAATCCTCCTCCGTGACCGTTCCACCGAGGTCCATGAACGATTCCCCGAGTTCCTCCACACGAGTCGCATACTCGTGCATCGATTCGCCCGCGCGCATCTTCACCGTGTAGAACGCATTCCGGGCTAGGATCTTGCCGTGGAGAGTCTTGTTCACGTGGATGGTCTCGAGCCGCTTCCACGCTTCATGCGCCGACGCTTCGAGCTTGATGCACATGCGCACCGAGCTCACGAGATTGATGCCGATGCGCGAAATCAACGTAGCGAACGCCTTTTGGTCCTTCTTCTTCCATGTCGTGATGTCGCTCTCGTCGTCCGGCTTCTTCTCCGTTCCATCGAAGAATCCCCAAAGTCCCCGCTCCATCATGAGCACTTGGAACTTAAACTTCCACGCGGAGTAATTTTGTCCCGTGAAAATCGGTACCGCCGACGTGTCGAACATCGTCGCGGTTGCCCAGGGTTCGCCAGTATTTACAACGACACCATCCAAGGAAGTGCGGGAGGCCTCGCTTGACGTCATCATGCTTGCTCCTTGTCGCGCGCGTAGACTCCTCCGACCAGCTCTGATACCACTGATTTAAAGGACTCTCCTCTACTTTGCAGGAACTGGGAATTGTTCTAAACGATAGAGCTCTGTCTTAGCTTTCCAACGAGCCGTCAATTGCTTCGTTCGCCTGAGAAACGAGCGAGCTATAGCTGGAAACGTGAAGACTATGCTCTATGTTGAAGGATAGGAATCTCTCTGGATTTTGTGTTCGAATGCACTTCATACAAAGTGATTCAGAATGTTCAGTATATCATGCAATACAAAAGCAAACACATTTATATGAACTGCAAAACGTCGAATCGCACATGTAACCTCGAACCGCGGTACACTCGAATGTTCGAGTAACATCGAAGGGGTGAAATTCGACTCTCGAATTTCACCGAATCGAATTCTCCCTGAGTCTCGATTCATCTTGTGTTGCCATGTGGCACCAATCGAGTGGGTCTTCCGAAGTCAACCCACACACTTCGTGAAACCTGCAGCTCTCTCAAGCGGTGAGCACCGAAACACATTCGGTGGGTTGGGGGCATATCAATTGCCCCACCACCGTTTGCTTCTAACTCACGCGACCTCCAACACTCCCGCACTCTTACCATTGACTTCACTCCCACGGTCGTTTAGGGGTGGTGGCGACCAAGCTTGCGGACAAGGAGGTTCACTCCAAGTCCTCTGGTGACATGTACGGCACAGGCTGCGTTTCTATCGCCGTCTTTCTGTAAGACTCTCCTGCGTTTCCTTTCTCCCCTCTATTATCTTCCCGCTCTCTCGCTGATCCCGCCTTTGAACCTTATCTCTCCCTTTCAGCTTTTGCTCCCTTCTCTTCTCCCCTTTCTTCCCCCTTCAACCTCTCAAACTTTCCTCCCTTCTACCTTCACTCTCACGATTCCCTGCCTTCTCTCCCCGCTTTCTCACCCCGCCCTTCTCCCATCCCGTCTCCCCTCACTCGCTCACACTCCCCTCTGATCTGCCCCCACTCTCTCACCCACTCCTCCTCCCTCCACTCACACCCTCTTCTGCTCACCCTCCTCTCCCACCATCTCCCCTACCCTTTCGCCCTCTCCTGCTTCCCCACACTCCCACCCTTCCTGTAAGCCTCTCCTCCATTCCCTTCTCCGCCCTCTTCTCCTCACGCTCTCACTGTTCCTGATTTTAAATTCTTGCCTTCTCACCTTCTCATCCCATCTCCCTTCACTCTCTCACATTCCCCTACTTTCTCCCTTCACGCTCTCACGTCCCTCTACCTTCTCCCCTCACTCCCTCACACTCCCCTATCGTCTCCACTCGATCTCACCCTCCCCTCCCTTTTCCATTCCCTTCTCCCTAAACCTTTCCTGTCCCCTCCTTGCCTCTTCTTGCCCTTCCTTGCAACCTACCCCTCTCAGCAACACCACCACCAATGACTACGACATTCGTTACCGCGTCAGCGTGAATACAAGCGACCCTAACGGGCCCACTGAGGTTCTCCTTGCCCAGGGCTATAACGTGCCACTCACCCTGGTCAACGGAAGCGCCACGTGGACCAATCTCACGGCCCCAGACGCAAATGTGGCTGGCGGGTACATGTACGAAACCAACGGCACTATTCCGGCGACGTACAAGCAGTTGATGAATGGGATGTTGGCAGCACCTCAAGATTATTCTGTTGTTCTCCTCACAAACTATTTTGACCTTGGTGTGCTGAGGGGTTGGTTTGTCAATAGTACGCTGGCAGGAGGGAGCAGGTGCGCCATAGCCTAGAGGGGTGAGAGCAGGTGCGCCACAGCCTAGAGGGGTGAGAGCAGGTGCGCCACAGCCTAGAGGGGTGAGAGCAGGTGCGCCACAGCCTAGAGGGGTGAGAGCAGGTAAACGTGACCAAGTTTGTGCGTGTATCTTTGTATTACTGTAAATATATATCTGTACAGTACCTATTTAGTATTCCCAACGTGCATACTATTTCACCCTGCGCCATCCCCCCATACTTTTGTTGCCCTGTTGTACACATACGGTACAAAACTTCACATTAAAGTTTCCTACATTACCGAATGGCTTGTACTCCAAAAGACACATGATGCATGGACAATCAGCGTTGCATGGGTGAGGAAATATCGAATTACCAACCAACTAGCTAGCAACGCCTCGCTACCATCACACCAAACTAGGAGTGCCCTCCCACCAGCACTTTCGAATGTCTCAACCTGCACTTGTGAAGGGGTCTTTGGTCCACCGGCCATTTGTACGGTAGCTACCGCTCAGCATTTCAGGGGTCCACTGTATAACACCCAACGTCAATACAATCGTACCTTGTAGGACAAACTTCTGTCACCTCCCTACCACATCCCACCCCACTGGCACCAGAATCTTCCGCCACTCTCTTGTGCCCATTGATTGTTCATATTGATAACAAATCAACGCTAGTCGTGCATGTGCTTTACGTTTCGGGGGTCATTGATTGAATTGAAATATATCAAAACTCTTTGTGTCATCACGGCAAGACTCTTCATAACACATAAACGGTAGTCTCAAACATGCCGGACACTAGGCTGACAAGGACCATGTCATGTGCATTCCTTCATGATTCTCCAGCCTCCTCGAAAAGAGAACTATTTCGACAGGCTGATCCACTGCAATGCCTTTTCTAGTACATTGCAACTTCCCCAATGCATCCTGCAGCCAACATTACGCAAAAGTAAAGCAGCAGTTTCATGGACAGCTCATCGGTAGACTGATCCACTGCTATGGTATTGCAATTCACTACACTTCCCCAATGCATCCACCAGCCAACACTACTTATAAAGCAGCAGCCTGGACAAACGCAATCGTGATGTGCTCTCATGGAAAAGGGCATTATGCGTAATCTTTCGTCTCAAAAGGGAATAGAAAAGGGATGACTGGGCAGGGATGTCTGGGCTGTGCCACACAGCCCACACTCATACCCACGCCAAGGCCAAAGCCCAACAAAAAGGCCCAAGCCCAAGCCTAGGCGCCATGCTCATCTCTTTTGGACCTACGTCTTTCCTTTCCCCTTCCCCTTCCCCTTGTGCCCCTTGTGCTGCTTCTTCCCCATCCCTCCCTTCCCTCCTCCTGCTCCCCCACCCGCTCCCCCTCCCCCCTTCTTCCCCCCCGCCCCCATCACACTGGTCATTCCCCTCTGTGCCGCTGCCAGCTTCCCAGCCCTCCGATTGAGCATCTTTGCATCCAACGGCCAGTATGCGTGAGGCTCCAGCTTCCCTTCCTTCTTCACATCGCCGCCCGCACGCCGCCCTCTGCCTGCGGCATATTCATCCCCTGTATAAGACCACCCGCTACCACTACCAGTCTGATTCTTCCCGCCATGTTTATCCTTACCAGAAGGAATGGCCTGGCCTGAATTAGCCTTAGCCTTTTTCCTGCCACCACCACCACTAGCACCAGCACCCCCTCTTTCTCCTCCTTCACCTCCTCCTCCTGTTGCCCCTCCTCCGCTGCGGATCCGCCGGCCAAACGCCAGCTCAGCAGCCCTCGCAGATGCCAGGCTGGCATCGCCCATCGCCACGTCATCATCCTCCATAACCCCATAGTCCAAATTCCCCTCTCCGTCATCCTCCATAAGGCGGGATTGAGGAGATAGTGTTGAGAAGAAGGAAGGAGAGAGGGAAGTGTGAGGGATGAGGGAGAGAAAGAGCAATAAGAAGAGAGATACCAGATGGGGGCAGAAAAGCAGGAGGTGAAAAAAGGAAAGCAAAGAGAGAAGGATTGCACCAGGAGAAATGGGCTGACAGCCATAAGATGAAATGCTATGATAAGGGAAGAAACCACACCCAAAACACCCCCATCCCACACCCACAACACCCCCATCCCACACCCCACCCCACACCCCATCCCACAGCCCATCCCACAGCCCATCCCACACTCCATGTCCCACCCCATGCCGCCCATGCCACACCCCATTTCCCACCCAATGCCACACCCCATGCCCCACCCCATGCCACGTCAGCACACCTGGATGAGAGCGCGTTCGACCACGCAGACTTCTTCGACCCGTCCTGGCGTGACGCTGACTTGGCGGCGCGTGATTTGCCGCCGAACGCGCTGCGCCCGTCCTCGTCAGCATCGCTGAAATCGCAGTCCGCTGACGTGTCAGAAAAGAGGTTGGAGTGGCTCCAGTCGCTCGTTCTGTGACACACGGTGAGAGGGAAAGAGGGAAGGGGAGGGGAAGAGGGGTGGAAGGGGAAGGAGGGGGCAGATACGGAGGCAGATGCGTGGGGGGCACATAGCGTGTCTGAGAAGAGGTTGAAGCTGCTCCAGTCACTCGTTTTGACACAATGTTTTGGATAGACGAGGAAACGAGAGGGGGGGGGGGGGGCGGGAAGGACGAGGGGGAGGGGGAGAGAAAGGACAAGAGAGTGCAGGACGATGAGAGGGGGGGGGAGTGCAGAGACTGAAACAAGAACAGGACAATAACAGACAGAGACGCAACCACTGTAGTGCTGACAAAGTGGCGAGAGGGGGGTTGAGGAAGAAGAGGAAAGAAGGGGAAGAAGAGAAAGTAGATGAAGGAAAGGACAGAATTCATCTGCCTTTGCTCTCTTGCCACTTACCTGGCCCTGCTTCTGCCAGACATGCTCGACCGCCCGTCACCGCCCTCCTCTTAGTCCCCTGCCTGCGAGCCCTCCCAGTGAACCCCCCCTGCACGTCCCCCCAACCCCCCCCCGGCCCATCCTTGCTCCCAACCCCATCTTCTTCTCCAGCTGTCCCCTTCTCTCCTCGCATCGCCACAATGTTTGCCCCACCCATTTCTCCCCCCTCTCCTGCTCACGTTCCCCCTCCTCCTCGTCCCCCTCCTCCTCCGCCACAACCCTTCAACAGCAGCTGCTTGGCTTGGCACTATCGCCTCCAATCCCCTCTGATCCCCTCCGCCTGCCAGAGCGCCGCTATAACGGATCACATGCCTGCAAATTGCCTGCGCGTGCCTATATCGGTTGCCAGACGCGTGTGCGCCACGTCTAGAGGATACGTGACTACGAGGCTCGTGGCTCCTGCTGCTGCGCCTGCCGACTTTTGAGTCGACTCAAAAGTCACCTAGAGGGTACGTGACTAGAAGCTCCTGCTGCTACGCCTGCCAGGACGTTTCCTGCTGAGATTCGCGTGGCGGAAGGCTCTGTGAGAAGGTGAGACGGGGCGAAGAGAACGCGATAGTTATCCTACGGATGGGAGAGAATACAGGGTGGAAGAACGGAGAGGGCACGGAGGCGGGAGGCTCTGTGAGAAGGTGAGACGGGGCGAAGAGAACGCGATAGTAGTCCTGCGGATGGGAGAGAATACAGGGTGGAAGAACGGAGAGGGCACGGAGGCGGGAGGCTCTGTGAGAAGGTGAGACGGGGCGAAGAGAACACGATAGTAGTCCTGCGGATGGGAGAAAGGGCAGAGTGGAAGACAAAGGGACGGAGAGGGCATGGGGGAGGGAAGAGAGGGGGGAACAGAGGGGGTGGGGGTTCAGGGAGGAAGTAGGGCATAGTGATGCGAAGTTGAGCGCAGGCGACAGGTAACAGCGCTTTACAATCCGCCAAAGCGCCGCTATCACAGATCGCATGCCCCCAAACTGCCTGCCCACACAAACAGTCCGACAGGCGCCACACACACAGGGAGGCCTCAATCCCCATATACTGCATAAACCAAATTGACCGCATAGACCTCTAGTGGACTGACCTTGTAAGCGACGTGGAGCGCGAGAGACAGGTAGCAGCGCAAAACACTTGTGTCATTCCCTCTCCACAGCCACGGGTAACAACAGTGTGTAACGATTCCTCGCCACACATACAGGGACAGGCTCTAAGCAAAATGTATAGTCCACTGCCAAATTTGTGTTGAAAACTTGAAAATAACCAGCATCATTTGCCCCTTGTCACTTACACTACACACATGCTGGGAATCTAGACATGCTGGGAATGCTGGTAAGTATGTACACATGCACTTCAGTGACCTGGCTCAACGGGAATGGTCTCATCGCCTCAACTCGAATTCTGCAAAATACATAACAGCCAGACAGACTCAACTCAGATACTCGACCTCGAGCTACCAAAAACGAAGCAGCAGCGTGCACGAAGGAAAGAACTCAATTTTGGGCAACAACCCACGCAGAGTAAATCATTCTAGGGATTTAAAAAGCAGAGTGTGAGTAGAATAGAGATCTGCAAATGAATCAGAGAGTAGGATAATCCACCCTCTCAACGTGGGCTCCCGCAACAAAAGCAAAAAGCTACTACACGATCATCCGGAACTTTCAGCGTGCAAACAGGGGAAAATTTTATTCAGTACCCATAATTCGTATCCGCATTCTTTCTTCATGAAGGTTCCCAGAGGTGGAAGAAAGACGGTCGCGATAATTGCACCCGCATTCCAGCAATCTGAAATTTTGCTTATACGTCTGTTTATAGCGAAAGCAAGACCGGAAGGAGTAAGAATGGTTATCAATTATCGGCTCACATAAATAGTCACTGAACGGCAAAGACTCATTGAGACGTAACGTCGCAAAAACATGGCAGAGTTTCTACAAGCTAACCGTACCTGCAGGAGCGTTGCACGCGTTGTTATCGGTGGGTGACCCTAACTTAACAAGATGGCAACGGTGACACGAGTCTAATAAATGGTCCTCACGGTGGACGAACTGGGAGTATAGATCGACAGATCGACAAGACTGACCCTAAAGAATAGTCTACGTCCTTCGCAGTATGCCCACCTACGCTCGTTATGGCTACTACTGCTGGCGGTTCCGAGGCTACCTTGATATTCACGTGAACTTCAATGCTAGACTGAGTTGAAATTCACGTGAAGTTGAAACCGCCAGCTTCGAGTGGCTAAATTTCAAGAACAATAGCAGCCGCTATACATGGACAATAGAGCTTGAAACCGATATACTGAACACCAGTACCGTGTACAATCCACAACAATGTTCATTCGCGGAGATGCTATGTTCTTGTAAGGAAAAATCCTTTTTCCTTACTTCGGGCCCCTGCTCAGCGCGTACACCACTGTAGCACCACAGTCAGCACCGTTACCACTCGCAACCCTCGCATCGACAATCCTCCCGCCACCTTCGCACGTCGCACCCCGACCTCACGGCTCGGCGGGTAACCCGCGCTCCGGGCCTCCGCCTCGACATTTCCCAACCACTGTCCCAACCTCAGTTCCAGGCCCGTCGCGCGTCACCCACAGTTCATTACCGTTACCACTGTGGTTTCGCTATATATTCTTCGCTCATGCCTTCGCTCATTGTACTCTTGCTTCGATAGTGCAATTCTCGCTCGATCACTCAATTGCACTCGTAAGACTTGGTATTCAGAGCCTACGATCTCTTCTCGGACCGCACCCACACTTTCGCTTCCCCACTATCTCAATTTGGGGGGGAGGTAGACGTCTCTCAGCGACACAGCACCGCCGCTCGTAGTGCTCTCTCGTAAGCACGCACGGCCACGACAGAGGCTCTCGCTGAATTTGCCCGACACCCCCGCCATGGCCGAAATCACTCTCGCGACACTGACGCAGGAGCAACTCGACCGTCTCGTGCGCCAAGTTGAGGAATCGGCGCTCGAAATTGCGACGCTCACGGCGGAACGTGACTCCGCGCGTCAACAATCCACGGTGAATACTCCGGCGCCACCACACGCACCTGCAAATGCACCCGCACAATCGGAGGAGCCGATCATCATTTCATCAGGCACACCGACACAGAATGACAGCGTGGGACAGCGCTCAGGCGCAGCTAGTGATGGCGTCGCCCACTCAATGCCTGGCATGGAGAGGAACAGGGTCGCGCCAAGCCCACGGGAGCCTCGTAAAGCCCGTTGGCACGTGGAATTCGCGGCGACAAGTGGCGACCACGCCATCATGGCGCCAATGCTACTCAAGCCGCAGCGCCCGCCCTGTTTCGACCCGAGCCAGCGTGGAGGTCCGACGGTTCAGTCGTGGGTCTTCACGATGAACGTATTTTTTCGACGCAAACTACGTCGAGTCGGACGCAGCGAAGATCAGATACGCCGTCTCGCTGCTGAGGGGCCCCGCCATGGACTGGTGGCGAGTCATCGTGACGTCCCCACGCGCCTATGAGCCACCGTCGCAAGAGGAAGGGCCCACGGGTCCAGCCGTCACCTGGAGTTGATTCTGCGAAACCGCCCAGTACAGCACGTAGGATGCGTGGTGCGCAGGGCTTCGGGCGCGCTTCGAGCCAATCGCGGCTTCTATTTCGGCGCGTCAGAGACTGCGTACTTGGCGGCAGCTCGGGTCGGTTCAAGACTATACGAGTGGTTTTCTCGCATTATGCGAGCAAGTCGGCTACATGCACGAAGCGGAGCGGGTGGACCGTTACGTCGGAGGGCTGAAGCCGGACATCTCGCACGAAATCATACTACGCGGACTCTCGAACTTCAACGAGATTCTCGCGCTCGCCGAGAAAATCGACATTTTGCGCCGTCCGAGACCGGGGTCCTACTACGGACATCGCCCTCGGGGACCGATCGAGCACGCCACCGTTCATGCAGTTGCGACAAATGCAGCTGCCGCACCATTTAAGGGGCGCTACTTTGCTTGCAATAGGCCGGGCCATCGCAAGAGTGAGTGCCCAGAGGAGCTGAGGCGCCGCGGAGCAGAGCAGGGGAGGGAGTCTCCAAGGCAGGGAAACGCCAGCATTCAGTAGGAATCGGGCCAACTACTGACGAGACTGCTTGCTCGCCCAACCCCACCGACCCTCACTGAGTCACAGTACCGATTCATGCTATCGATCGGGCTGGGGCGAATAAGGAGGGTACAGCAACGGATTGCCCAGTACTGATCCACGGGAAAATACAGGGAGCAGCAGTGAAGATTTTCATCGACGGAGGAGCGAGTCACAGTTTAGTTAATACCGCAACCGCACGGAAAATGCACTGACACTTAGCCGGTGTTTACCGGAGATAGATGCACGCTTTGTCAGTAGAGCTACACTGTGAGATCCCCGATCGATCCTAGGGGGGGTTACAGGCGCGTTTGCCTGGGGGGTTATGGGCGCACTGACCCGCTACTGAAACAAGCCCTTTTATCCCAATGGTCTAGTGGTTGGGATTCTGACATGGTATCAGAGCGGTCTCGGGTTCGAATCCCGGTGTATGCACATGTTGGCCGTTGCCACTGTGCTCAGTCCTGGGCCTCCCAGTGTGGGGGGGTGTCAATAGAGCTACACTGTGAGATCCCCGATCGATCCTAGGGGGGGTTACAGGCGCGTTTGCCTGGGGGGTTATGGGCGCACTGACCCGCTACTGAAACAAGCCCTTTTATCCCAATGGTCTAGTGGTTGGGATTCTGACACGCTTAGTTGACGGCACGCCACTAGCCATACGGGAAAATGTGGAGAGAGTCAAAGTCCGTTGCGGGGGGAATTTCGGGTTTACACAGGAAATGCTCGCGACGACGCTGGATGGGCACGACATTTTACTGGGACGTGATTGGCTGCGACGGTATAACCCGCGAATTGAGTGGACGACGGGTAGCTGCACTGTACGAAGTAGCGGTAACTGGGTCGAACTACCTCGCCGGCAGTCGTCTGGGTCTTCAACGGTACACGTCAACGCTGTCACCATGAAACGGGTTGTCGCCGCTGGAGCTGACGTGTACGCAGTAGACATCGCAGTGATACAGGAAGCAGAGCAGGCGAACGACTTCAAGAAACTGCTGGCAGCAGTACCACCCAAACTACAGGAACTGTTGAAACGATGCCCAGGGATTTTTCCCGATGATTTACCGGAGGGACTGCCACCTCAACGAGCACATGATCACCGAATAGAATTAGAACCGGGGGCACAACCAACCGTACAGCGCCAGTTCAGACTGACACAACCCGAGCTCGACGAACTGAGGAAGCAGTTAGATTACCTGTTAGAGAAGAAATTCATCCGACCGAGTTCGTCACCGTTCGCCGCACCGATACTGTTCACGCCGAAAAAGACGGAGGTTTTCGCATGTGCATCGATTACAGAGCACTCAACAGGGTAACAGTTAAGTCGCGGTACCCCATTCCCCGCGCCGACGAACTGATAGACCAACTGCGAATGGCACGGGTTTTTTCGAAAATAGATTTACAGGGGGGTTACCATCAGATTAGAGTCGAACCATCGGACTGCGCCAAAACAGCTTTTCGGACTAGGTACGGGTCGTTCGAGTACACCGTGATGCCCTTCGGGCTGACCAACGCCCCAGCGACATTTCAGATGACCATGAACGAGGCGTTTAGGCCACTTTTAGATAAATGCGTGATAGTTTACCTCGACGACATCCTCGTCTACAGTCGCGACAAGCAGCAGCACTTAGCATATCTGGAAGCAGTATTTAAATTTTTAGACGAGCATCGACTACTGACAAAGGGTTCCAAGTGCGAGTTTTTTCAGGACAGGCTAGAGTTTTTGGGGCACGTTATTTCGGAGGATGGGGTCGAAATTGACCCGAAGAAGTTGGACACGGTAAAAGCGTGGCACCCCCCGACGAACATCACGGAACTGCAGAGTTTTTTGGGGTTCGTAAATTATGTGCGTCGGTTCATCCCCGACATGGCACGCTTAACAGCACCACTGACGGACTTACTGCGCAAGGGGGTCGTTTTTACGTGGGGGAAGAAAGAGCATGCTGCCTTCTCTGCCCTGAAAAATGTTCTCTGTTCACCGCCCGTACTGCGCATAGCTGACCCACACCGCCCATTCGAAGTAGTTACAGACGCTAGCGACATCGCCATCGGAGCCGTACTGCTACAGGACTTCGGCAACGGCCTACAGCCCATCGCATACGAGTCACGAAAGCTGCATCCGCCTGAAAAAAATTACCCGATACACGACCGCGAAATGCTCGCGATCGTGCACGCATTCAAAGTTTGGCGCTGTTACTTGACCGGCGCAGACGTGACAGTACGGACAGACCATAAATCACTACAGTACCTCCGCGCACAGCCCCACCTCAACCCACGACAGATCCGCTGGCTCAATTTCCTCGAGTCCAATTTTCACTACACGGTCACCTAAAAAAAAGGGCCATCGAACATCGCCGACGCACTGACCCGCCCCACTGCCCAGATCCATGCAATACTACTCGCCCAGACCAGCCCACTACTGACAGCCGAGAAAATCGACATTTTGCGCCGTCCGAGACCGGGGTCCTACTACGGACATCGCCCTCGGGGACCGATCGAGCACGCCACCGTTCATGCAGTTGCGACAAATGCAGCTGCCGCACCATTTAAGGGGCGCTACTTTGCTTGCAATAGGCCGGGCCATCGCAAGAGTGAGTGCCCAGAGGAGCTGAGGCGCCGCGGAGCAGAGC